GAAAGTTGGGGTTTTTGCTGTTGTTTTTACATCTATATAATTGAGGAATGAAAACCTATTACTTTAGTTTTTTATATAAGTCACTAGGTACCATTTAGAATTCATACACCTGAAGGAGAGAGTGAGTTTTGGAAAAAATAACCTGACTTGCCAGAAACAGTATTGACTTGAAATATAAGTTAGACTTTTTACAAAATGTGCACAAATAAACTTGTTACCACAAGTGTCTTTAAAAAATTAGCCTGCCTTTGAAATATCTCTTGTGGACTCATTAATGTATACTCCAACTTCAAGGGCATTTGAATCATAAAGTGGGTAAAATGGTAGCTTAATTTAAGCTAACTCAGCATATATTTTAAGCAATTCATCATTATATACATATATTATGTTGAACACTCAGTTTACATAATTTAGAGGAAAAAGTATGAGGCACACGATGAAGGTTTTACTTCAGTTTGCTCAAGTAGCTATTAGTCTGGGCCTCAATTTCTTCTTTTCTAAGATGTAAATAGCATGATTAGTAAGCTAGTAACCTCCCATTATTAGTTTGCCTCCAGTCTCTATTATGAATAAATATTTGAGTATATAGGTATATATATGTAAATATATGTGTATATATCTATCTATATGTACATATACACATATATAAATATTATTTGGCAACTCAAATTCCACTAACCATTTCACAGAAATTATTTTTTGTTTTCAATTTTTTTTATTTTGCATCTTTTATCTTAATATTTATCTACCCATTATTTTTATTTTCTGAGTATCAAATGTAGTATTTTCCTTCTGTGGGTTTTTCTCTATCTGAAATTAACTTATGAAACATGCGGGTATCAGGACATGCCACTGAGTCTGGCATCTCTCAATGCATTCACCGCCTTGCTGGGCTCATGATTAATCACAGGGTGTCCTTGGTTACCAAGCATGTCTGTAGGTTGCAAAGGAGCCTAGGAATATGTATAAGGAAATGAGATGAGTATAAAATATTTGCTGTTCCATATGATCTACCAAAAGAATCCGTGTTACTTTGAGGATTTAAAAATAGAAGAAAATTCTTTGGCCTCATAAATAGAGTGAAATAAATTTTTAGTAATATTTTTTCTTCTTGTTTCCAATGTATCCTATTTGCTGAGGAACAATATTTTCCTTTTCAGAAACTGGTCATCCAATGGTAAATTTTTCCAACTTTGATTCTACACTTTTAATTTTTCTTCTCTTATGCTTCCCATATTTGATGCTCACTGGGGAGAGGGTAGGATGCAATCCAAACCAATTTTAGTTGGATTTTAGTGGTTTCCTCTGGCAGCAAATTTTACTCTCAATTTAAAGGACATTTAGAAATCATTTGTATGAGTTATTCATACTATCAATGCCCCATTAGCTTATTTTGTTTAGAATCTGCTATATTATCAAGAGATAAAAACCATAACTGTGCATGCACGAAGACAGTGGCCTGATCATTGCCACCTTGCCAAGGCTCTGTTATATGAGGATAAGTGGGGGGGAAAGAAGGTGAAAAGCATGGGAATATTTTTGAGCAATCAAAAATCAGAATTTAAGTGTGGGTCAGATAACAAAGGGCTTAAGTTGAAGGATTTATTTGCTTGAAATACTAACTTCTCAAGCATCCCTTCTACCTTCATGAGAAGATTTTACTGGTTAAGCATGCTAACAGTTCATTAAGAATCCTATATAATTAAACCCTAATATGCAAATAGGCCAATTGGGGAAACAATCAGTTGCTATGACATGCACTGACCACCGGGGGCAGATACTCAACACAGGAGCTGCCTCCTGGTGGTCAGTGAGCTCCCACAGGGGAGTGCTGCTCAACCAGAAGCCAGGCTCACAGTTGGCAAGCATGGCAGTGCTGGCAGGAGCCTCTTCAGCCTCTGTGGCAGTGCTAAGGATCCCTTGGGGAATGTCCAACTGTGGGGGGTGGGCCTAAGCCGGCAAGCAGACAGCCCTGGAGGAGTCTCAGACTGCAAGAGGGTTCAGGATGGGCTGAGGGACCCCACCCCAGAGTATGAATGTCTTGCACCAGGACTCTAGTATAACATAAAGCCCTAGCTGGCTCAGTGGGTAGAGTGTTGGCCTTCAGACTGAAGGGTCCCAGTTTGATTCTAGTCAAGAGCACATACCCTGGTTGCGAACTTGATCCCCACAAGGGGGTATGTAGGAGGCAACTAATCAATGATTCTCTCTCATCATTGATGTTTCTATCTCTCTCTCCCTCTCAGTGCCAGGCAGTCTAATGTTTAAAAGTTTAGAAATTACACAGGTATAGCATTTTTGCAATGAAACAATCATAGTAATATACAATCTATTTCCTTTTTTTCTTAGAAATATAGCACTCTGATAAAAAATAAGATTATGGCATTTTAGGGATATTACTGAAGTGTGATTAAGGACAAGATAAGCTCTTATAAAATGTTATTGAATACCATTTGTTTGAACTTAAATGTAATAATACATACTATATTAGTAAGTCAAACTCACATAGTATTTGTCATTTGGAGATATTAATGATTATAAGATCTACTACACTTATCCTGATCTTTAAAATGTTAAGTGATAATTGAATTCTTTCAAATATTAGTATGAACGAACATGCAAGATATAATAGACTTGAAAGAATTGGGTAATTTACCTCCTTTATTTTTTTCTCATCTATCCCTGCCCTCCAACAGTAAAAGGAGTGCATAGGTCCTAGATCAGTTGGTTAATTCTTTTCTACCCAAACACTAATTGGTTAAATGTTATTGGGTCAAATTTTGCAAAAATATTTTTCAAAGCTATGTGAATATTCAAGTATATAGTGAAATTTTGTCACCTTAATAAACATTAGTTGAAAAAAATCAGGATCATGCTTATAATTTTTAGCAGAATTAGAAAGCCTTCAAAAATAGAGAATGAAAAAAATCACATAATGATAATGCTAGTGATAATGATATTAATTAAAGTTCCACAATTTATTGTACACTCTATTATATTTTTTATATGTAATGTAAAACTCATAATAGTCTTCTGGGTTTGGTACTATTATTTTATAATAATCTCATTTAACAGATGTTAAAATTGGGACATAGAGAAATTAAATGACTTAACCAGGTTTATACAACTAGTAGATTCTGACAACATAGACCAAGTTCATGGTATTGACTAAATCATACATGAGAAGAGCACAGAACCATCAAATTCAAGATATTTTATTAATAAAATTGGATAACAAAAGAGAAGTTGCTTTTTAGGAAATAGTTATGTAAAAACAGTTTTGTTGGTTATAACTGTTGAAAAAATGAAATAGACTAAATACTGAAAGTAATGAGTAAGCAATAGTTTTACTGAATGCCTGTTATGAACTTAGCATCAAGTAATGGATATAAGACACATGTGCAGTAGGAGATATAGCAGATAGCATAATACCTGCCAATAAAAAACATAAGTTAAGTTAGAGATATGGGAAATGAAATACAGGTGCCTTGTGACATGATGAGGTTATGTCCCTATAAACCTAAGTTGAAAATATTGTTCATCAAAAATGAATTTAGTACATTTAACTTACCAATCATCATAGCTTACTCAAACTTACCTTAATGTGCTCAGAACACAAACTCCCAAAAAAATGGCTGGTAACCAAGTGCACTGGAGAGTACCAGTGGTTTACCCTTGTGATTGCATTGCTGACTTATAGCTGCGCTCACTGTTGCTGACCAGCATCACCAGAGTATCAAACATTAGGGGGATAACAATAAAAAATAAAAATTCCTGCCCTGGCCAGTTTAGCTCAGTGGATAGAGTGTCGGCCTGTGGACTGGAGGGTCCCGGGTTCAATTCCAGTCAGGGGCATATACCTTGATTATGGGCACATCCCCAGTAGGGAGTGTACAGGAGGCAGCTGATTGATGTTTCTCTCTCATCGATGTTTCTAGCTCTCTGTCCTTGTCCCTTGCTCTCTGTAAAAAAATCAATAACATATATTTTTTAAAAATCAAAATCTCAAGTACTGTTTATACCAGATTTGAATTTCTTTTGCACCATTGCAAGGTTGAAAAAAAAAGTGTAAGTCAAAACGTCATAAATTGGGGGCTCTCTGCATATTTAATTATCAAACAATATAGAAGTGATACTTGAAGTGATGTATAAACTGAGATACTTGTTCAGATAAATGTGATTATCAGGCTAAAATTCCAAGCTAGAAGTACTGTAGTTCAGAAGTTATTCCAAAAATGATTTGTACTTGTAAAATTCTAAGTGATAAACTAAACCAAGAAAAGAATGGTAAACAAGAAAGAGAGAAGTCTGACCTACATTCCCGCCTGTTGGGGAATGAATACCTGCCTTGTTGAATGAGAGATGAAGCTTGGAAAATCCCAATGAATCTCAATAGCCAGCACCACTGGCTAAGAGCAAAAACAGATTTAGATTTTTTTTAAAAAACATCCAATTTAGATTTCTTTTTTTACGGTTAGACAAGATATTTAAAGAAAGAGGAGGGGGGCTCTAATAGCTTATAGACCATGACTTTTAGAATCCAAGAAATAATTTTAGATCCAATTAGAATGGCATTGTGCTGAGAAAGAATATTGTCAAAATGTGTCTCCAGAGTAGATCTCTTCTCTCCGAGAGCGTCTAGTTTTCTGAAGGATGGATCTTTATGTGTCAGAAGGTGGTATGAAGGCAACAAACCTAGCCTGGGATTTAGTCTCAGCTGAAACATTCTGTCAGTTTGTGTAATCGTTTGACTCGTTGGGTCTAAATATTCTGTCTGTGAAGTGGATAAACTTGGATTAAGTGATTCTCAAGATTACTTTCAATTGCTCTTCAATTTAAGCTGTGTACTTATTAAAAAGTAGCCTATTCATAATTGCATGCTTGAAATAATGTTTATTTTATAGATGGAAATTGTTTTACTAGAACTTTCTTTTATACATTATTATTACTATTTTACCTTTTTTCTGAAATCTTACATCAGTATCTTTTCTCTGCCGTAGGGTGGAGTGAGTGGGTTGACTGGAGAGCTGGAATTTGGAGAAAATGGAGGCAATCCCAACGTCCACTTTGAAATTCTTGGAACCAACTATGGAGAGGAGCTTGGCCGAGGCATTCGCAAAGTAAGACCAGAAACAGTGCTAAATATGCTTTCCTACAGTAACTATTATTATCTTCATACAATGCATTCACAGTATGCATTATAGCTTCTACTGTAGTTTGAAAAGAAGAAAGGGGTCAGAATTAGGCATTTAAATGACTTTACGTACTTACCAGAAGTGTTAGTCAATGAATTCTACTTATGCTTTAGAATAATTTAAAGGAAGAAGGGTACAGGAATCTGATGGTTTCCTAGGGAACTAGCATAATCTTTCATTCGTTATAATAATTTTTGTAAAGTAATGAGTTTAATATTTGTACAACGCATAGCTGCTTGGTTTTAAACTTGTAACATGCACAACATCAGAAAAAAAGAGCTTAGAGGAATTTCATTTAGTAGGAGTGAAGTCCTTCTATAAAACTGACATTTCAGTATTTCAGCCTCTCTATGTGGCATGCATAAGTAGCAAATGGCTTGCAGGAACTGAGCTCTGATGCTATACCTCAGATCGCATGTAAGAAGAAGCTGAGGGCAATAAGGAATATTTCATGAACTCCCTGAACTATACCTTTCTTGAGAAAAATATAAAAGCCCCGGGGAAAATGGCTGCTATAGTTTGAATTTGCCACTTTTATGTATTTATGGTAGGAAAAAAACTCAAGGTAATTACATGTGCATACAGGGTTCATAACTATAAATTTCTAAGGGTATAAACTTGCTATATTGAGTTAAGAAATTCTTTAGTATCTATTCCTTTTCAGTGTTGAGTATAGGATGCAGAGAAACTTAGATAAAACTAAGGAGTTGTTCTAATCAGCAATAAAAACCTCTTGGTAAATTTATACTAGAAGAGTTGAAAATAGTTGAATGTGAGCCGAGACCGGTTTGGCTCAATGGATAGAGCGTCGGCTTGGGGACTGAAGGGACCCGGGTTCGATTCCGGTCAAGGGCATGTACCTTGGTTGTGGGCATATCCCCAGTAGGGGGTGTGCAAGAGGCAGCTGATCGATGACTCTCTCTCATCGATGTTTCTAGCTCTCTATCTCTCTCCCTTCCTCTCTGTACAAAATCAATAAAATATATTTTTAAAAAAAAAAAAAAAAAAAAAAAAAGAAAATAGTTGAATGTGTTTTAATTATTTTTTATATTGAAGCATAGTAAACATAGAAAACTGCAAAAAATATTAGGATAGTTTCATGAATTATTTTCAAGGAAACAACTGCTACTACGGTAAAGAAATAGGTCAGACCAAACATCCTAAACACCCCCTCATACTTCATTCCCACACTCCTCCCTTCTGAGTAGTATAACCAGTAGTATGAGTTTTATGATACTCATTTCTTTACAGTGTTAAATGTAATTTTATTAGCTGTATATGCATCTACTGTGGTCTGTTTCTACTTTTAAGCTCTCAAGTAACTTTAAGGCTACTATGAATTAGTTTGTGAATTGCCAGAGCTCTATACATTGGGCAGTTTTTTCACCTGGACACACACACACACGCACACACACACACACACACTGTCTTCAAGGGTACTTATCAAGGGAAAACCTTACCATACAAATAAAGACGGTAGTTACTAGATGGTGTACAAAATTGTTTCCACTCCCAGTTTCTCCAAGTCTCAGAAAGAGTGAACGGCTTTCCATTGACAAACTGTCAAGTTGTCAGTGTTTATTCTGCTGCAGGTGGTGAGGTGTATGCAATGCCTAAAGCCTTATCACCTGGAGCAGGGACCTTGTCAGCTTCCATAACTGAGCAGGGCTTGTCTGTGTAGGATTTGAATGTATATTGACCCAGTCCCAAATGGTGGACTAATCTTGTCTGTATTGTCCTGGTAGGATTGGAGGTTTCACTTTTCAGAGTTGGAAGAGAATGTGAAAAGGATTACTTAATTTTCACTGATGCTGATCAAACAAGAGATTTCCCGCTTTGATATCTATTGCATGTTTTTTGCTTTGATGTGAGGTGGTGTTTCATTCAGTAGATGGTGTGTTCAAGGTGTTAGACACTGTATCCTTGAAGATAAATTCAGGTGAACCTCAAAGCCAAATTTCTAAATGATAAAAGTTTTCTATGTCTTTAAATTTTCTCCAAAATTCTGGTTGTTCTGGTTTTTTGTTCAGCACAATAAAAACTACCAGAAAGAAAAATAATTTAAATAATAGTATTTTACACAATCTTGTAAAATGAAATTAATTTAATGATGTAAAAAGTAAATATTAAATATTTAATGGATCAAATTTGGTTTTTTCTTCGGAGAGTAATTTTACACACTAGTGTTTTTTTCCTTATGGGTCTTTGTTTTATTTTGTTTTGCCAATGCCACTCACTTTTTACTCTGAAGACTGAGTCCCAGCATTAAAATTTAATACTCTAAACTTAATGTCTTTGAACTTTATCACTAATAGGAAAATATGGCCTGGAAAAATAGATTAAAACTGGTTTTGCAACCAACCTTAATTACATAGTAGTGTTAGTATCTTCATAAAATTGTTTTCTTATGTAAGCTGATGAAATAAAATGGTACAGCAAAGATATTCTAGCTCCTAGGTATAATTGTTTTTCAGATAGATTTAGAATTTTTACTCAAGTTCTCCAACATTAAGCTTAGAAATATAAAATCCGTAGTATAACATTCTTGGGAAAATTGAATGCACTGCTTTGCAAAAGGTACTTTTAATGAACTAAAATATTTTCTGCCTTGTACTTAGAAAGAGGAAACAACAACCTAGCCTTCAAATGGCCAATGATTAAATAGCACACAGATATTCTTCAACATTGTATTTGTATTCTGATTATACAATATCTAAAATAACATTTTCTTTTCATATTAATATGCTTTATGTTTCCTTAGAGCACTTTTTATAAACTGAAACTATATGCACTCACATAATCATATATAAAAACCTTATATGTATTGTGCACGCATAGGTAAATATCTATATAATAAAAGGCTAATATGCAAATCGACTGAACAGCAGAACAACCGGTCGCTATGATGTGACCCTCTGGGGTCAGTTGCCTCCTGGTGATCAGCGTACCCCCACAAGGGTGCGTGGCTCAGCCAGAAGCCAGGCTCACCAGCAGGCTCACAACTGACGAGTGCAGCAGTGGTAATGGGAGCTTCTGTCTCTGAGGCAGCGCTAAGGAGCAGTGAGCCTTGCTTCTGGGTGAATGGTACTCCCACAGGGGGAGTGCCGCTCAGCCAGAAGCCAGGCTCACCGCTGGCGAGCGTAGCAGCAGTGGCAGGAGCCTCTACTGCCTCTGTGACAGCATTAAGGTGCTGAGGGACACCCCTGCCAGTGCATGAATGCCGGGCACCAGGCCTTTAGTAAATATAATAAATTTACTTGTTTATAGTCTGCTTTCCCATTATAATGCAACTCCATGAGATAAGAATTTTCTTGCTATATCCTCCAATATATGGCCTATAGTAGATGCTCATTAAGTATTTAATGAATGTATTAATGAATTCATTGTCATATTGACTTAACTACCTGCAATATTCTTCCCTTATAATAGCCATGTTCTTCCCTTATTCAAATGAAAAAGAATAAGTATACAACATAATCTAATTGTTGGCATAGCATATTAGAATGAGAATGTGTAATTACAACCTCTCCATCATCATATTCTCAGGCTTAGCGGAGTTGGCCACTTGGTCACCAAAATTATACTCAATGATTTTACTGGTCATTACATAAGATTATGTACAATTTCTTTGCAGGTATTCACTGAGTTATGGAAACAGTTTATTGATTATTCCCAACAAATATTTAGAGCAATTATTCTAATCACCCACAAAAGTGCAAGTTCAATAGGAATTATTGTTATTTGTAGCTCAAGATCATTTTCTAATAACTAGGCTACATTTATGTTTAATGGGAAAAGTACTTACCCTTTCTGTCAGACACACCTGGGCTGAAATTCAGAACCTGTTACTTTCTGGCTGTGTGATTTTAGGACTACTAAACCCAGTGAATCTCAATTTCTTTATGTATAAAGTGTGGATAATAATACTATCCCTGATTGTTATAAAGATTAAGTGAAATTATGTTTGTAGGTTACATAATGAGGGTTAAAATAACGCTATTTTGCAAATGGACAATAATCTATGTCAACATTTTGCCAGCACAAGAAATACAATCTGGTTGCTATTTTGACAAGGAATTGCAATGTGAGGTGGAGAAAGAAATTTAATTTTAGGTGTAATTGACATAGCATTATACATGACAATCACAGTAATAGCAGGAAACATTAACTTTTTTTTAATGTCCTTTTAAACTCTAAAATTCTACAAGACTCTTACGCATCTATAGCTCAATGGGAAGCAAATAATAGAGGATCCAGTAGTCATTATAGCCTGTATTTACCAAGTCTATAATTAAACCCATTATTAATATGGTATATTTCTAACAATGAATTTACATCTTGAAAGTTTTATATAGTGGAATCTAATAAGTGCTGTGAATAAGAGACCGAGAGCATCTGTGGTTCACCTTTAGTCCACAGCTGATGACTGTGTGGATTAAGACTTGGAGAATAGCCCTAATAGGTTTGGCTCAGTGGATAGTGTCGGCCTGTGGACTGAAGGGCATGTACCGTGGTTGTGGGCACATCCCCAGTGGGGGGTGTACAGGAGGCAGCTAATCGATGTTTCTCTCTCATCAATGTTTCTTACTCTCTATCCTTCTCCCTTCCTCTCTGTAAAAAATCAATAATATATATATATATTTTTTAATATATTTTTTTAAGACTTCAAGAACATATTTGATGCAGAAGAGGCAAAGTTCACTTTCCTTCCTATATTACTGGACAATATCCATAGTGGGATAGTTCACTCTGGAATCTATCCCACCCCAACCTCAGACACACACTATCACCAATGAAACTCCAGTCCAGTTCAAATTCATCTATGCAATATGGCAGTACTTACTACCCAATGAACATCCCCATGTCCAGTTCAGCCATAAAGGGAAAATAATGTTCATGACACATTCCCAGAGCAATTATCATTA